CAACATCATGTCTTACCATGCTGAGCCATCCTTTCTCAATCACAATTTCCCTATCTATCTTTCGATGAATACTTAGGTCAATGACAACCAAATGATTATTAAACTTTCCTTGTTTTAAAAAAATTTTAATACCTTTTTTAAGCGACCGCACAACCAATATTAGGTTGGAACAACGGACTGACAAACCCTAAATTTATTCGATTAGGCCAGACCACGTTCACAACTCGTTTTTGAGATACTCGTATTATATTATATCAAGACACAAACTCTGTGCTCAGTATACTCGGTTCTAATTTAGGAAACAGAACAAATTACATCAAAAATACAAAACACCTCAAACGGTACAGCCTGTGCTATACAGTCAGAAGTTTCTCTAACGCAAAGTAGCGCGCCAAACAATAAAAGAAACAGTTAGTACCAAAGGGTTCGATACCTGAGAAACACAAGTATCTACAATTTTGCGATTAAGTCTGCTATTATAGTAGTACTAATAACGAACTAGACCATAATCCAACATCAGTGAAACCGACTAAAAAACGCGGCCTGATATTATTTTTCATGTTGACTTTAACGTATTTGATTGAGTTTCACTTGTGCTAACCAGTTCTTCATTAGTCTGTTGATTATCTCTCACGCGTATTATCGTGTTGTAATATGAATTAGTGCTCATAGCTTACCAGCTCGATCGATACTAATAACTGCCCATGTATATTGCATTGATGGCTCTTTTACAAGCTTTGGCAGCATTTACATGCTTCGGTGAGATAAACTTGTTAAAACATCAACCACTAGCAGATGTGGCACTTGATCGACGTAAGTGCACATAATCTAGCAACTAATGTAAACATGGGTTTGAAAGTTATCCTGATCTAATTCTTTATTTGTTTTTTCATCTAATATCTTATTCTATTTGAAGCTGTGGACTATCCATTAATATCCTTCCTTCTAACCACTGCCTGACTAATTTACAGTTTTCCAGTTCCGCAGCCAAACAACAAAGACGATATTCCTGTAACTTCATATAAGCTCAAGCTGTAAAGTTTCTACAATTTTAAGCTCATTGTTGCTCAGACATGTGTATATCTGGATTCATGGAATTTTACTGAATCAATCGAATGGTAAGGTCGACACCATGCACATCAAGGAATAAATTGCAGTACTGCGTGTTCAGTCTGATTTTTCTCGGGCCCATAATATTTGTCACGGTTGGCTTTTTGTACGTCGCCATATGATAACATCTACACGAAACCAAAAATTGATTTTTTTTAGAAACATAAATGGGCCTGATGCTGACAGTCATAACCTTAAATCTTACAGGTGTCCCGCTAAATTGCTCAATCGACTAATTTTAATCTGACTTTATCACAGAGATTCTCATCTTACATTTCTGTTATGACCTTGAATCGCTTTTACCCCGTGATACTTGTTATGGCTTGACCTTGATATGTCTAGTCTAAATTATGACCTTGACGCGTTAGGCTGAGTGGCTTAACCTTGAGTCTAATACGCGTGAGTTCGAGATGGGGTAGAGAGAACTATTCTAAATCCTGATTGGTTGGCAAGCACGCAAGTGAAAGAAGACAAGACAGTTGGAACACTGAACTCTGGATTCTCTGAATTCGGATTAGTACAAAACTGCACATGAATAAATAAGTGAATATCTTGACCACGACGTATGATAATTTGGAAAAATACAGTTATGCCCGAAACAGGGAAGTAGGGTAGAAAATACAGTGCAAAATATTATGTTTAAATTACAATATTTTCGGAACAAAAAAGGGTATGCTAGTGAATGATACATAGAACGAAAGCTCGTGTTATGTAGAATAAGATAGGGACAAAAATAAATATAAGTGTTTTAAAGGGTTTGAATGAAATGCAATAACGTCCCAAGAAAATAGCTTTCGTAATTGTCTGGGCTTCTTAATTCCCCGTTCATAACAATTTCAAAAATTTATATTCTACCGTGACATCCACTTCTTGAGGTGGTTCCGTTTTTGGAAGACTCTAATAAAGTGCCGTCCTTAGATCTGAGCATCTGTGAAAACATCTACGGAGCACAATTCTCTCTCTATGAATCCGAATTTTTTCTTCCGATCCTGGGATCAACTCAAAGACTGATAATGGGAGGTTAAGCACTTCATGTTACCAACAATTTCACATATTTTGAACGACTTATCAGCTCCATTGAGTGGATATCGGATGAAATCTTGGAGTGGATTGATAAGGCTCAATGTGTTGTTATCAGCTTAGGTCAAAGACATTAGCTTTTTGGTTCAAATGGTTCAAATGGTTGTAGACGGAATAGAAGAAGCTTTCGCTTAACAGGCTTCCGTGTCTAGTAGCACATGAATATTAGTGCAAGAGAGCGCCAATATATATGCGCTACACAAAACAATCAGACTTCTTAGAGAAAAGGGAAAAAAGGTAAGGAGCGAAAAAAAAGAGAACAGTAACGAAGAGTTTGGTGTAAGGTAGTATGGTAGAAATGAGGGAACAGAGAGGTACAATCAGAAGAAATCTTTCAGGTAAGGGAGACACAACCACTTTCTATGAAGAAAGTAAAAGAAGGTTACAGCAGGATCGCCACTGGCTTCTATTCTCAGCCATATCTGATAACGCCTCTAGCCACTGTGTCACACCATCTCTCGGGCCCCAACCGGGGAGTCCTGCCAGTCTTATAGAAGTGCTTTGCACTTCGAAGGTGCAAAGCACATACCATACCTACGGACACTGATTGCCAACTGATTAAGTGCGGATTGCATGCCTTGGGCATTATCGCACAGTAAGACAATATCATCCGCATACTTAAGGTCGAGAAGTCTTTCTCCAGGCAACAGATGCACACCACCATTACTTACATCCATCAGAGCTGTTTCCAGAATGTCATCGATGGCAAAGTTGAAGAGGAATGGCAGGAACCTAGTTATGTTAACAATAAAAGAGGAAAAGAAATTGGTAAATCATAGTATGATGCTGTCCTTGGTCCTTAAGAATAAGTCAAGTTGCCTCTTGAAAGACTCCTGAGAAGTCGCTTCGACTAGCTCGGCACGCAGCGAATTCCAGCTTTTGACAACTCTTAAGGTGTAGAAGTTATGTCTACATTCCGTCTTGCTATGCTGTGTCTCCAGTTTCTGGGTGCTACCTCTTAGGTTATTGTTCGAACTAAGCTTAAGTAGGTGTTTAAGAGGATGTCCAGAAGTGTTAAGAATACTATAAGCCATTAATAAATCACCTCTAAGACGCCTATACTCTAATGGGTAAAGGTCTAGTGAATGGAGGCGTTCTTCGTAAGGTTTAAATTTGAGTCCTCGAACTGATTTCGTGGCTCGCCGTTGGATACGCTCCAAAGTAACCTTATCCTTTTGGAGTGAGGGGGGACGTACTATGTTTCCATACTCTAAATGGGGACGGAGAAAACTATTGAAGATTATATGGAAAGTTCTTCTCTCAAACTGTCCAAAAATGCGCTTCAACGTTACCAGTGCAAGGTTTGCTCGGAAGGCATTTTTGTCACAGTTAGCGTAAGACTTTAAGTCATGGGGCACCAGGACTCCTAAATCTTTTTCGACTACTAGAGAGGAGTTTCCTAAGTTGTAACTGTAGTTTGCGACAAGTCGCAGATGGACTACTTTACACTTTGAAGTGTTAAAGGTAAGTCCGTTATCGTCTGCCCAACTTTGAAGTCGAGTCAGATCCTCCTGAAATGCCTGTATATCGTCTTGGTTGCGTATCTCTCTCCGAAGTTTCACGTCGTCAGCATAAAGTAATAAGTCTGACATTACCTGTTGGGGAAGATCATTTATGTAGATCAAGAAGAGAAGAGGCCCTAGTACTGAGCCCTGGGGGACCCCACTAGGACATTCCATAGCTTGAGATAAAGTGAAATTAACCCTAACCTTAAAGTGTCGATTTTTCAGGTATGAAGTAAGCCAATCGATTAGAGGTGGTTTGATACCTAGTCGTTTGACCTTATTGATAAGACACAAATGGTTAAGCTTATCAAAAGCTTTTGAGAAATCAAGGTAAATGATATCAACCTTTCCCTTGCGATCAAGGATGCTTGTCCATCTGTCCACCGCAGTCAGCAGATTGGTTATACAAGAGTAACCCTTCCTGAAACCATGCTGTTGGGGTGAGAAGAAATTTAAGGACAGTAGATAGTCGTTTAAACCGCCGCATATCAGGGATTCCATGAGTTTTGAAGGTAATGACAGAAGAGCCACCGGCTGATAAATTGAAGGTTCATTGCGTCGACCTCCTTTGAAGATTGGTGTGATGTGAGCCAACTTCCAATTTTCCGGAACATGGTCTGTGCAAATAGAGCAGGTTGCATGTTTTGGTCATAACTAACTTCTAGACAGTTCTCGTGTATGATAGAACGACAGGGTGAGCACTGATGACATTGTAGCATTGGGCAAACCAGTGAATCAGTGAACTTCCAACCGAGTGAGACGAGTGAGGTACGTTTTATGCTCATAGTCGATGTTGACTGATACATGAAGTCATGTATTGCTGGAATAACCAGTTTTATGGAAGGTGGACTGCTCTTCCGGTTCGGAATAGCAACATAAATTATGGGTTATGAGACGGTTTCTGATACCGCTAAAAGTCATTTTCAGTTAGCTCGCAAATTTGCACTCTTTATGTTTGTTGGTTACCAAGCGAGGGAAGTTTACACCCACTATTGAATTAATTGGTTGGGTAATAGACATATGCATAAGCATGGTAAAAAACTAATAAATGTCGTCAGTCTTCTGTTCGGCTGATGACATCAACATGATTTTCAATATTCAATAAGCGTTTTATGCACATCACCATTGAACTTTTTATCATTCACTCATTGTATGAGGGTTACACACAAAAGTTTAGTTTACATCAAAGAATACAGTTGAGGAGCCTGCGGGCATCTGGGACTGTCATCTATGAACACAACGTTGTAGCGCAGCTGTTCGAGGCTTGAAGGTGGCGGAGATTTCTGTTTGACTGCGTAGCCGCCAATGTTTCGTTTCCCCAGTGGGACTGTTGACGGTCTCTCTTGCTTCTTATCTATCCCACATACCTTGCTTAATGCCTCTCCTCTTAATCCCGGAGGACTGACCATGCAAGGTATTGATGGCTCACCTTCCAGTCTCCCTTTCGCAGGACACACTCCTTTTGTTAGGAACCTGTGTTTGGGACTCAATTTACCTATCATAAATACCGCAAATATTATTCCTCCTCCGAATCTCGGGGTAGGCGTAGTACCTTCAGTTTCTTGTGCATCTGCAGGGTGCCAAAACCCAGTTTTGTGTTATCCTGTCTCAGTGACCCAAACGGCCCACTCGGTTATTGATTCTGGTCCATCTGATCCATCTGTTCACACGATTGTTCGTGGTCCAGTTATGTACACAAGCGCCGTAAGTATTTTTGTAGCTCAATCCAATTTTCCTTTGCATATTTTAATTAAGCTGTGTCATTAGTGGTGGGGCCTTATGTTATGTGTTATTTAGACTTCATGTAGGTCACGCTGATGCAACTACTACCTGTTCGATCAGCCTTAATATTATGAGCATGGAATATGTAACTTTTCCCTGGAACTCCATTAGCCCGCAACCAAATAAGTCTCGTAACTTTGTCCGGATTGTGACGCCTGTAGCTCAGGTAAGATGCTCTGCGTATTAGTCAGCCAGTCAGAGAAAACATCATGCTCATTTCGGTTCTCACTACTTTGTGGTCGTGAACGTTTGTCAAAGTAAGTGTGCGAATGCTCTAAGTGTCTGGTCGTTTGTGTATTTGAGATATATCTCATTTAATGGGACTGTGGAGTGAATAATGCTACGCTTGACGTTTGGCTGTGCCAACAGACAAACTTGTATATGGGGAGTAGACGTTAGTTTGTTGAAGTGGCTTATATTAGTGTTGCGCATACCCATTAATCGCCTACTCTAACAGCCTATACTGAATAGTTTTGGGATAAACTATAAGGATTTAGACGTAGCTAAATACTATCATTCTATGATGTCACTAACTATTGAACTGAATCATGCGGAATAGTGCGAACTTCGTTATGTAACTAGATAATAACCCTTAATCAACAGTCTGGGGAACTCAGATGATGTATCTGAAAATCAGTCTCACTAATGGAGATGTATTGACCCGATATTTATCCATAGGCGTCTATTCTCCGTATTATTTACTTCTTTACTATCCGACTTCCTTTTTCTAATGATGTTCTATGTACTTGGTTTTTTTATTGCCACAAATATCACTATTTCCACAATTGCTGTTTAAGTCGCTAATTTAGTGTCTCTGTGCTAATGCGAAGTATGACAACTTGTAGCGGTACATATTTGTCCCTAGTCGTGGTTTGATTATGACTGACTCACTGACTGCATCTAACCTGCTGTCGGGAATGTTGTCTCGATAGTTTTTTTAATCTTTTGATATTGGTTATTTCATTCGTATTAGGTATTTGTACCGTACTTCTGCGTAGTGAATGTTGTAAACCTATTGTGCATGTTGTGAATGTTTAGCACTGAAATATTTGAGTTCCTGCTTTGTCATTACTTTTCTGAATTTTATTGTCTAACTCAATAATTTATATATGGTTTCCCGTCTTGGTGTGTGGCACTTTGTTGTTAGTTAGGACACTACCTGTTTTGTAGCATGTAATTGTGGTTTGGTGGGTTGAGTATGTAATTTGTTTTAAGAAATCAACTGACTGAGCATTTTATATCTTTAGTATGGGGTTGTGGAGATTGTCAAGTTTTTGATTGGGACCATGAATCTATTGATGTTAGACCACCACTGTTAAATGACGGCTCAGTGGTCTAGAGGCTAAGCGTTCGCGCGCGACCAAAGGTCCTGAGTTCGAATCCTGCGTGCAGGGTAGTGGATGGATGCTGCTGAGTCACATACTAGGACGAAACAGCCGTCCAGTGCTTCCAGGTTCTCAATGGTGGTCTAACATCAATCGATTCATGATCTCAATCATTCTTATCCGTTGTATAAAGTAATTATATTTCAGTGTATTGGTTTTATCAACCTGTTTTCAACCGGAATGCGCAGATGTTTGTGGTATTTATTTCAGTACCCATAGTCAAAATACTCAACGTATTGCAGTATATGATAATGGAAATATGAACTAACCTATCCACCAGCTATTCGGGTATGAGCTACACTCAAAACGCAATAGCTCAGGTTTTTAAGCCTCCACCAACCTGCTTCTCTCCTATTATCCGGCTAATAATGGTGAAATAAAATGTGGTTTTGTTATATAGTGTTGTGGTGCGTTGTTTACTTAAGCTATACAGTAATTTGTTTTACTGTTTGGATTCACTTCGCCAACCATCTGCGAAGTCTTAGAGCACTGTCATACTTATCACTTACCAACAATCGTAGTGTTTCTTGGAATTGGGGCCGCCTTCGTTTCATTGAACACAACTGTTCTCCGGGATCGCCTATTGAAAAAGGATGTGTCCGAGAAGTTTAATTACATTTTGAATGCCTCATATACTATTACCTGAGGCAGAGTAAGGGCATACAACCAGCTCTCTCCACTGTTTCACTTAATTAGTGGGGTTAGACAAGGTTGCCCAATCTCACCATCCCTTTTCAACTTTTCCATCCATGATGTTCTGGAAACAGCTCCAATGGATGTAGGTACTGGTCAGTCAGTCAGCTACAACGTAGGAGCAGGCACGTATATGCATCGGTCTAAGTTATCACAGCACGGAAAGATGAACACCTAGTTCATAGAAGTAGTTACTTCAATATTTCTAAGACATCTATAATCAAATGCTAGTAACTCACAATTATTTTCTACTCTCAATGGCCACGTTTTGCAGCCGTAAAGTAAAACAGAACGAACTGCTGCGCAGTATAAGTCAAGAAAAACTCATTGTCGGACGCCGATAAGCATGCCTGTGTTCTAAAACCTGACGAATGGTGTGGTCGATGCAGCCACGACCACGTCTGAAGCAAACCTGATTTTCTCGTGTTTGCAGGCGTCCGATAATCATTGAGGCTAGTACTTTAGATGCTATATTAGTCAAACTAATCCCTCTATGGTTATTACAGGAAGATTTTGAGTGATGAGATCAATTCACGTATAGTGAGAGCCAGAGTGGCTTATGTCAATCTAGGTCATCTTTGTCGCCTTCGTGGTTTTAGTCTGGCTGTAAAAGGTTGGATCTACAACGCTTCAGTGAGATCAGTTTTGCTTTATGCTTGTGGAACCTAGTCTTCAAGTTCAGCATGTTAGATTACACTGTGTCTGAAGAAGTGGCTTACATTGAGTCACGAATCGTCGGAAATACAATTGGGATATGACAAAAAATATTTATCATTAACTTTTTACCCACTGTTCAATTTATTTGAAACTACCAAGTCCGACCGTGGAATTGATAGATTTTTTGAGTTAGCAATTGTAGGTAACAAAACTCTGATCGAATTTCTGGTTAAAATTGTAGAATAACCTTCAATCACCCAACTATGTTAGTATTTCTATCCCTTTGTCATGTATTATGCATTCGTTATAATTCACTTGTCGACGTAGATTTGCGGTCTAGGCTTATCTGGGCATATAGTAATCTTTTGTGGTGAGTAATGATGTAAGGTTCTTATAACAATATCCCTTGGTTTTCTATTCTTTGAATCACTAGTTTATTCATATTTTGGAATGTTGAGTAACTGTACTGTCTGGTGGAATGTTGTTTGCTGTACTATGTATGCTTTAAATTTGATATGTGCTTTCATCAATTTGTCCAGATTATAGTTTGCTTGGTGTAAACCATTCAATGCAGAAAAATACTTGTTATGCAGAGCTTACGATGATTAAGAATACTTAATTTTTATCGAATTTTCAGCATAGATTCATAGTTTAAAAGGGTATCCACTCAAAATTCGTTCGTTTCGTTTCATCACTGTCTTGTTTACAGAGTTATATTTTATGTATTTTTTCGTTGGTGCTCTTTTTATTGCTTTCTTACACTTGTTTCAGTTCAACGGCTGATTCACATTCGAATCGATTCATCTGCGCCTCTACTGGTTAATGGTAATCATAACTAAAACAACCTAGCACTCACAACTCTGTTTTTTGAATCATAATTATCTTTTTTTTACTGTGGAGTCCTATTCATGTAAATGAATGATCATCCACCGTTTATTCATTGGTTTTTGTGATAGCTCTCATATATATATATATTTGAGAGCATAGTAAAACAATTTAGCCAGTGCTTTTCGTCATGTAATTTTTATGGTTGCATTCATGTTCGTCCGTATTTACTTCTACATATCTATGTGTTTATGTAGCATTTGCATTTGCACATTGTGGTGACTTTGCTTTTGTGTTACTGTTTTTTTTTAAAAATTTTTAAAAAAAAGTAGTGCGTCGATTCAGTACTGGTTGTTAGCACTGTTCGCGCTTCGTGCTTTGCTCGCTTAATTTGTTTGTGAATAATGTCTTCCTAGTGTTTGTTTTTTTGTTTACTTCATATCTTTTTTCTGTACTTTCCTTCAGAGTGGTCGTGATTTGATTCAACGAAGTAATGGAATTCATTCTAGTAATGAAAAAAATAAAGAAGAAAGTCCTCCTGATCGTATTGTGGCTTCTTATGCTGCTGCAGCGCATGCAGCTGCATTGGCTTGTCATCAACCGATTTCCAGAGCTGCTGAAGCTTATTTAGCCACAAACTCTTATAACCGGTCACGTCATTCTAAAAGACCTCGGGCATTAAACAATTTGTCTGCTGTCACAATATCAACAACTTCGAACTCACTGTCTACTTTGGTGGATACTGGATCAAATTATATTTCATCTAATTTATTATCAGTCCCTTCTTCTGGATCATCACTTATTTCATCAGAAGCTACTTATGGAGAATCGCATAAAGGGTGGACTCGTCTAGTGAATAAGAAAACACAAAATGTAGTGTACATAACGTAAGTGTTGTCATCATTTTCTTCATAGTTTGTATCTTAAGATTACACACCTTTTCAGAATAAATCCATGTAGTTTTTACCACCTAACATAAATATGAAATATCAGTGATCTTAATAATGTAAGGTCATATTTTATACCAAATCAAATTCGTTATTATAACTAAAACTTGGAGGTAGTGTGACGTGAACATTTTGTCGAATAAATACATAACAAAGTTATTGGAACTTATTTTAAATAATTTTCTTGATGATATTAAGCAGAAAAAAAGTTTTTACAATGGAAGGTTGTAAAGATTGCTAACTTTGTATAGGGTCTCTAATGAAGCATTCAGTGCATTGTTTATATAGATGGTCGAGAAATAGCTGAATTTGAAGATAAAAATCACGGAATGTCAACCTAATGATCTAAAAATAACGTAGTGTCCACTAGGCTTAAAAGTTGAATGTTTCATCGTTGAGTAAGTTACACTTGGAAATTAATGGGGATTGCTATATTAGGACAAAGTAGTTGTCCAGTGCTCCTTGCTTTTCAATCATCTAGCATAAATCGGTCCGTGAAGTATAGTGCAAAGTGGAATGCTACGGTACTTTGTAGTAAATATTCAACTTGTTTCAAGATTTCTCATCAGTGAATTGAGTTCAATATATAAGATGAAAATGTATCTCAGTATTTCAACGTCTATAATTAAGACCACTACAATATATCGGAAATTCACAGCCTCATCATCTCTACTCGTTCCTAGTTTATTAACTTATTTTATTTCCTGTAAGTTTACTATATCTCAATAGTTTCTTAATACCGCTTATTTTCTCGTGAACTTTTACTTATGTGCAATATTGTATAACGGTGGCATGTCAAACTATTTTATTAGCGTTGGTTGAATCCTCATAAATTTCACTTTACACTCTACTGATCCTGGTGCGGTTATGGTACCATAAAATAAGTCATTTAATACACAACTACCTCGTAGATCAGTACTTTCTGGACTTTTCGTAATGACCATTCAGAGAAATTTCTTGTACATTTACCTTATCTGCTTATATGAATGTCTGGCTAGCACTAGGATAGGTCAGCATCCTTTATATAACGATGATTTACATGATTTATGTAAATATCTTGAACGTAAAGTAGTTATATTTCCTAAAACATTTTCTTTCGTTACCTATATATGTGACCCGACTGCAGCGCACTGTTCTAGGAACTTAAGTAAACAGTTCAAAAAGAATTTGGATTGATAAATAATTGCTAGTTTAAATGTCTTTTTACAGTTTACAAGTAGATTTAAAATGTAGACTCAAACATTCTGAGGCGATTGGCACAAATAATGAATTTCCTCACAATTACTGCTTATGAAATCTTTTTTTAACCGTGTGGTTACTTGAATTAACTGCTTTTCTTGTCAAAGATGGTCATTTAAATTCTAATGCTATTTCACTCTTTTTTATTTATGAGCCTAGCCTGTTTCATTAATTTTTTAAAACTGTACGTTTTTGATTCATGTTCAAAAGGACTCGATATATTTTTATACAACTTTGTTAAGTCATCATCTTATTGTATTGACAGGGAAGTATTTCGTTAAATTTAAATATTCTGTTTTTGTTGTATTCAGAACATAATTATGATTAGTTTACCTATTATACATAGTCTTAGTTTATTTCGTATGATCGCAAGTGCTTTTGCAACCTCAAGTCGTGTCCGTCAAGGCTGTCCACTTTCTCCATTTTTGTTTAATTTCATCACAGACCTATTGATGGAAATAACATTCTCGTCTACTGAATTGTCGGGTATTGATCTCCTTCCAGGAGGTCCACTTATCGACTTAGAATACGCCGATGATATAGTCCTGTTTGGTGAAGACGCTGATAAAATGCAGTCTTCTGGTAGCACTGAGCAACAATGTCAGAATGTTTGGAATGCGCTTCTCTCCCTCTAAATGCAAGCTGCTGCTTCAGGACTGGTCTGCGTCAACACCTGAACTAAGGATAGTTAGTGAAGTAATCGAACGCGTTGACAACTTCACTTATCTTGGAAGTCTGATCAGCCCTAATGGGTTGGTGTCTGACGAAATCTCAGCACGGATTCGAAAAGCTCGCTTGGCTTTTGCCAACTTACGTCACCTATGGCGAAGGCGAGATATCCGTTTATCAATAAAAGGACGAGTATACTGCACCGCAGTCGGTTCTGTTTTAATTTACGGCAGCGAAACGTGACCATTAGGAGTAGAAGATACTCGTAAGCTACTAGTATTCGACCACAGATTACTTACTTATTTACTTACTTACTTACTTACTTTACTTACTTACTTACTTTACTTACTTACTTACTTACTTACTTACTTACTTACTTACTTACTTACTTACTTACTTACTTACTTACTTACTTACTTACTTACTTACTTACTTACTTACTTACTTACTTACTTACTTACTTACTTACTTACTTACTTACTTACTTACTTACTTACTTACTTACTTACTTACTTACTTACTTACTTACTTACTTACTTACTTACTTACTTACTTACTTACTTACTTACTTACTTACTTACTTACTTACTTACTTACTTACTTACTTACTTACTTACTTACTTACTTACTTACTTACTTACTTACTTACTTACTTACTTACTTACTTACTTACTTACTTACTTACTTACTTACTTACTTACTTACTTACTTACTTACTTACTTACTTACTTACTTACTTACTTACTTACTTACTTACTTACTTACTTACTTACTTACTTACTTACTTACTTACTTACTTACTTACTTACTTACTTACTTACTTACTTACTTACTTACTTACTTACTTACTTACTTACTTACTTACTTACTTACTTACTTACTTACTTACTTACTTACTTACTTACTTACTTACTTACTTACTTACTTACTTACTTACTTACTTACTTACTTACTTACTTACTTACTTACTTACTTACTTACTTACTTACTTACTTACTTACTTACGCCTGTTACTCCCAATGGAGCATAGGCCGGTGACCAGCATTCTCCAACCCACTCTGTCCTGGGCCTTCTTTTCTAGTTCCATCCAATTTTTGTTCATTCTTCTCATATCTGTCTCCATTTCTCGTTGTAATGTGTTCTTTGGTCTTCCTCTTCTCCTTTGGCCTTGAGGATTCCATGTGAGGGCTTGTCTTGTGACGCAGTTGGGTGCCTTCCTCAATGTGTGTCCTATCCACTTTCAGCGCTTCTTCCTGATTTCTTCCTCCGCTGGGATCGGGTTTGTTCTCTCCCACAGTAGGTTGTTGCTAATAGTGTCCGGCCAACGGATCTGAAGTATTTTGCGTAGACAACTGTTAATAAACACCTGTATTTTCTGGATGATGGCTTTCGTAGTTCTCCAGGTTTCTGTCCCATACAGTAGAACTGTCTTGACATTTGTATTGAAAATCCTGACCTTGGTGTTGGTTGACAGTTGCTTTGAGTTCCAGATATTCTTCAGTTGTAAATATACTGCTCTTGCTTTGCCGATCGGCGCCTTCACATCTGCATCAGATCCACCCTGTTCATCAATGATGCTGCCCAGATATGTAAAGGTTTTAACATCTTCTAAATCTTCTCCGTCAATTGTGATTGGATTGGTGTGATTGATGCGATTCTCCCCCTCGAAATGCAAAATGTTGCTTAAGGATTGGGTTGCATTGACACCCGAACTAATGATAGGGAGTGAAGTAATTGAGCGTGTCGATCGCTTCACTTATCTTGGAAGTCTCATCAGCCCTTGTGGTCTGGTGTATGACGAAATCTCAGCACGGATACAGAAGGCTCGACTAGCTTTTACCAACTTGCGTCATTTATGGCGTAGGCGAGATATCCGTCTATCAACCAAAGGACGGGTTTACTGCACAGCAGTTCGTTCCGTCCTACTTTATGGCAGTGAAACATGGCCGGTAAGAGTAGAGGATATTCGTAGGTTACTAGTATTCGATCGTAGGTGCCTTCGAAATATTGCTCGTATATCCTGGGATCATCGAGTAAGTAACGCAGTTGTTAGGAAACGGGTACTAGGTAAGGACGGCAAATCAATTGATGACGTAGTGAAACTTCATCAGTTGAGATGGCTGGGACACGTGTTACGTATGCCCAACCACCGACTTCCTCGACGTGCGATGTTCAGTGGTATAGGAGTAGGTTGGATGAAAGCTAGGGACGGCCAAACCAAAACATGGCACAAGTCCATGAAGTCACTGACAAGTTGACTGAGTCATGTTGGTAGGTGTAGACTACCTGGTTGGGGACCGCGAGATGATAGCAACCGATGGTTAGAGACCCTGAATGACATGGCTGAAAATCGTTTGCAATGGCGCAGGTGCATCCACTCTTTGTGTTCTCCCAAATTGTGATCTCCTTATTCCTCCTTGTCTCTTTTTTTTCTCTTCCCAAATTTATTTCACTGGATTATACTCTTTAAATAACATCTCCAAACACTAATTTTCCCGATTACTGCTTATACTCTTGCTACCTCTACCACTACGGGATTTGAATCGATCACTGCATCTGTGTGCTAATGTGGTATGGCAACTCGAACTGATGTACGTACGTACGAAGTTCTACGTTGTTACTGACTGACTGGATTGGTGCATGCAGTGTTGTATCGGAGAATCTTGCTTTTCCCTTTGTGTTTATTGAGACCTACTGTTGCTGAGGCTGCTGCTACACTGGTCGTTTTTTCCTGCATTTGTTGTTGCGTTTGGGATAGAAGGGCCAGATCATCTGCGAAGTCTAGATCATCCAACTGTATCCTAGATGTTCACTGTCTCCCGTGTTTATCTTCAGATATTGACGTCTCCATGATCCAGTCGATCACCAGGAGAAAGAGGAAGGGTGAGAGTAAGCAATCTTGCCTGACACCGGTCTTCACTTCGAACGAGCTTGTCAATTGTCCTCCATGCACAATTTTGCAATTTAATCCATCGTCGGTATTCCGTATGATATTGACTGTCTTCTGAGGCACGCCGTAGTGTCGAGGAAGCTTCCATAGTGTTGTTCTGTTCACACTATCAAATACCTTTTCGTAGTCAATGAAGTTGATGTAGAGTGATGAATTCCATTCAATTGATTGTTCCACAATGATCCGTAGAGTTGCGATTTGGTCTGTACACGACCTATCCTTACGGAATCCTGCCTGTTGGTCACGAAGTCGGGCGTCTACGCAGTCCTTCATCCTGTTTAACAATACCCTGTTGAAGACTTTTCCCGGCATTGAGAGAAGAGTGATGCCCCTGTAGTTATCACACTTGCTGAGGTCGCCTTTCTTCGGTATTTTGATCAGAAGTCCTTTCCAGTCTGTTGGTACTTGTTCCTCATCCCAAATCTTATTGAAGAGGATGTGGAGTATCCTTGCAGTTACCGCTACGTCTGCTTTTAGTGCCTCTGCTGGGATGTTGTCCGGTCCTGCTGCTTTGCCACTCTTGATTTGTCTGATGGCCATGCTGGTTTCTTCAATTGTTGGTGGGCCAACATTGATTGGGAGGTCCGTGGGTGCTACTTCGATGTTGGGTGGGTTCAGTGGAGCTGGTCGATTCAAGAGTTCTTTGAAGTGTTCTACCCATCTGTTTTGTTGTTCTTCAATGTTGGTGATTACCTTGCCTTCCTTACTTTTCACTGTTCGTTCTGGTTTGTGGCAATTTCCAGAGTTTCTTTATCGTGTCATACAGTTGTCTCATTTTTCCTTCTCTTGCAGCCTTTTTCGCCGTCGTTGCTAAATCTTCCACAAATTTACGTTTGTCGGTTCTGATGCTTCTCTTCACTTGTTTGTTTACTTCTGTGTATTCAGCTTGTGCCTTGGCTTTTTCTGCTCTTGTTCGACTGGTATTGATTGCTGCTTTCTTGTTCCTCCTTTCTTGAATCTTGTCCAGTGTATCAACAGTGATCCATTCCTTGTGATGGTGCTTCTTGTGACCCAGGACCTCATGACATGTTGAAGTGATTGCCTCTTTGATCCTCTTCCAGTTACTCTCCATAGTAGTTCCTTCTCCATTGAGTAGATCATGAAAAGCCTGGAACTTGTTGCTGAGGACTATCTTGAATTCGTTGAGTTTGTTAGTATCCTGAAGAAAGGCCGTATTGAACTTTTGTGATATTGTCCGCCCCACTGTCCAGTGCTTCTTGAGTTTCAATTTCATCTTGGCGACCAGCAAGTGATGATCTGATGCTACATCAGCTCCTCTCTTGGTTCTCACGTCCTCTATAGTCCTCCTGAACGTTTTGTTGATGCAAATATGGTCGATTTGGTCTTGCGTGGTGTGATCCGGAGAAGTCCATGTGGTTTTGTGTATGCGTTTATGTGGTAATATGGTGCCGCCTATGACCAGTTTATTGAAGACACATAGGTTTGCAAATCTCTCACCATTTTCATTCCTTTCTCCCAGTCCGTGTCATCCCATGATGTCTTCATATCCAGTGTTGTCCGTTCCAACCTTGGCATTGAAATCTCCCATCAGAATGGTCAGGTCCTTTGTTGGGCACTTCTCGATGATTGACTGCAGCCTATCGTAGAATTTATCTTTAGCGTCTTCATTGTAGTCGTTGGTAGGCGCATAGCATTGGATGATTCTCATTGAAATGATCTCTTTCTTTGTTTTGAAGGAGGCTTTCATGATCCTTGGTCTTTTATATATTACCACCTCTGAATTAACTACATTTATGAATCCGGTGTCCATCTTGTTGTGTTAATGAGGTATGGCAACTTGGACCGATGCATATATGTGCCTGGTCCTACGTTGTAGCTGACTGACTGACTGCAAGTACGATAGTGTCCAAACAGAAGGTTTGCGTAAAACTACCGCTGTTGCAGCTTAAAAGATACCACTTTAAATTATCACACCTACTTTCAAATGATTATGCAACTGAGTCTGCGGATACTTTTTTAGTAGTTGATTTTCAATTTAAGTAAATCTTATAATTACCCTTCTTTGTATCAGTCATTCAGTCATACGTAACGTAGAACTTGGCACATATGTACCACATTTCAAGCTGTCGTACTTCATTAGTACGGCAAGATGAAGTTGTCAGGGTGAATCACAGATTAGCAAAGGTAGTAATAGTACTAATGCTAATAAAAGAAATGATTCGAGGGAACATAAATTGTAGGGGAAGAAAAAGAGTGAATACATCCAAACCTTTGCAAACTATTTTGAGCCATATCACCCAGTGCATCTAACCATTGGTTACGTCAATAAAACAGAGCCCAACCAGATAGTTTACATCTACCTACATGGTTCAATCTAATATTCCTTGTTTTCATGAGTTGATGCTATGTCCTATTCTGCCCTCCCTAACTTTCTTCCCACTTACTGTCACACCATTCGTCATCGCACGTTAAAATGATCGGTGAACATAAATTAAAAATGGAGTCCTAAACATGTTTTCCTGAACTCCGATATTGAGATTTAACAAAATAAAACTCAGTAAAGATCTTAATCAACCTTTAGATCAGACTAAACACAGAATGTTTCATGTCTAGACTTAATTTAAATCCCTTTGACTGTGAGATTAGTAAGTACTTCTGTTTGGCTGATCCAAGTAGTTATTCATATAAATTACAATCGTTTAACCACCATATTCATAAATGAAATTATGTGAACTATGAACTACTGTAAATTACGAAATTTCCTAATTTAAACTCAAACCATGTTTCGATATCAAATCGATGTCACTATGAGGATGGATAAGAGTTTATCACTGTTATAACTCACCAGAATTTCGTTTCATTATATATGAAAATTGATACTCATTATGAAGATATTGTACAGTTATTTAATTTTCCACAATAACACCTAGTTATTTGTTTTTGAATATTGTGGTTAAATGTGTAAACTACATTCACTCTTTTCAGTTCTATAGAATTAAAGATGAAATATATTTAGTGTACATGATAATATATTGACAAACATTAAAACCTGTCCAGTGTGTTTTTCATCCACTTTCTCTATCGTTTACATTTTTAAAAACAGTATTTTATGCATCATAATAGGTCTGATGGTACTCGTTTACATAACGTCGATGAAGTATACACATATTTATCAACAAGAAATTCAGAATGTGAAATTAATTCCAGTATAAAAGAATTAATCGCTGCTCATTTCATTTTCGCACCAACAATCAATGGTCCTTCGCTTGAGGATACATTAAATTTTGTTCATAGATTACAGGGTTCTGTTTTAAAAGATGAATCAGTGAATGATAATGTTTCCCAATTTCTAACAACTGTATCAAGTAGTGTAAATAGTGATAGTGTTTCACAAGCCGTTAAATCATCAGAGGAAGTTTGTAAGTTTATTGTATTATGTGTATCTTTATTTGTTAGATTGTTAGTTTTTGTGTTTTAATGATTTCAATACACTTAACAATTAATAAACCTCGTTATATTAACAGATTCTTTTTTGTCGGAGAAAGAAAGAAAGAAAGAAAGGAATATTGAAATTCACGTACTTGATTGAAAAAGTGATTTTTATTTAGTTTCGGTCCACTTTTATTATGTTAATTAATATACATTAACTTCTCGTTCAAATGACACTTTTCAGTTTAATAAATTCATTAATTGATAATTATTATATAGTAACTCAAATATGAATTCTTTTTAAGTCTCTATCATTAAAGCACAATCATATAAAGTCTTGTGAAATATAAATCCTACCGAAGTAGAAGCATTCTTAGAGATTCAGCTCAAGTTAATTCAAATGGTAACAAACACAAATTTCACATCAGCTGTATTATTCGTTATATCAGAGATGAAGACCATAAGTTAACAGTTTAGTTATTAACAAGTATTTGGTTTAATCCTGATTAATACTGACGGGTACAAATATAAAACGGTATCAAATTGATAGGCTCTGATAAGATAATGTCATGGATATTGAATTCTATTGTTAACCGCTACCAAAATACCATACATTTAACATAAATTAGCCATTAGTCGTAGTATACAATTGACCAATTAAATTTGAACGTAACTCGTACGATACTTGAGCACTTGGCTAGTTTGTAGTATTGCTAAATGTTATCCATTTAGTGATTGAAGGTATAGATATAATTGAGTTGTATATTAATTATTTTCGTAAGTTTGATTATTCGTTTAACAAAACGCATGTTTGTTAAGAACAAATGAAGTGGTCATTGAAATGGAAAGTGGAAATTACATTAATATTCTAATGTTGAAAAATATTTGCAATTTTTCTGTAAGCCGTGCGTCTGTTAGAAGTAGTGTTTGATTGGGTCTGACAGTTCGAAAATTGATTGTAATAAAGTACAAAATATTCTGTTGAAAATTTTAAGGATCATAAATATGAGTGAATGTTATGTAACACTTACTTACTTACTTACGCCTGTTACTCCTCGTGAAGGAGCATAGGCCGCTCACCAGCATTCGCCATCCAACCCTGTCGTGGGTATTCCTTTCCAGCTCTTTCCAGTTGCTACTCATCTTTTTCATGTCTGCTTCTATTTCCGGACTAAGAAAAAAGCAGCCTAATAGTAAAAGTCATTCACAATCAATGTGATACCTAGCACCATTATACATCAGTCAAAGTTGCCACACCAGATTAGCATGACGAAATGAAATCAATCAGATGAATGATGAAAGAAGTATTAGTGGTAATAAGATTGAAGCATATTGTTCGCAAAAAGAGTAAACATTAGAAAGCGAAGAAAGTATTGAATCTCAGAACCTAAGGAAAGATAAAGAATGAATACAGCTTTAATGTAAGAAATAATACCCCACTCCATCTAAGGTCTCTACCGAGTGATCATGATGACCGGGTAGATACTAATCAAGTAGTATGGACCTACCGAAGTGAGTAATTTCCTGATGCCATAACTTACTTCGACCATTGGTACTGCATTAGATTGTGTATTGTAGTTAGTCATTTTATTATACTTTTTGTAATCGTAATTTAAAATCTAACCTGCTGGTTCTTCCACTCTACTCAGGTTTATATGCTTATGATCAAATGTCACTCACACGTTGTTCCATTATTGTGACATCACGTGATTTGTAATCGATTGCAAAATGTTTAAGCATTTAGAATAGTTTTTCTTAAAACAAGGACGGAATATATTAAATTATTGTGAGAAAGTAACTACACTTCATCCAGTTAGAAAAGACTGTCTATGGAGTGTACAACAAAAAGTTGTAGCAGTGTTGTTCCTGACTTCTGTTATTGACTTCCATGACGTTTTAAATCTATACAGGGAGTCTTGATGAAGCGATAATTGCTAATCAACAATAAATATCATTCATTTCATTGCATCATGTTATAGCCTTGTTAACTTGTCATGTTTTCCACCTAACCACATCGCAAAAAAATAATGTTCGGTATAAAAGCAGCCAGTACTCGACATGAAGTTTTAAAGTCGATAAATTTGATTGTTGAGTCACTAGAATCTTTCAAAATCTTTGTGGTTTTCGTCTATTTAGTCCATACTAAAAATAAAAATTGTGAGTTTGATAATTGGAGTCAGCGAAACGTTAAAGATCATTGGCGTGTCTACTGCATAATGTAGGCGCCAAAAGGACAGTTAAATCTCGACAATTAGATTTACAACAACGAAATTATACTCATTGGGTAGTTGCGCAACGGTGTAATTTTGTAATTTCACTGTGCTTATATAATAATATCGAGTAATTGAAAGAAAGTATTATAATAATCAGTAATCATTTGAGAAATTCAGTTAAACAGTTACTAGATTACATAATATTTACAAAGAATTAACGAAACATCTTGATAAAGGGTCAATATTATAGTAACCCTTTAAGACTCAACAAACAGGCTGAAAATATGTAAAACTACAAAAGTGAAAGGAATTAAGAAATTTTTTTTTGAAATAATGAGTTTCATCAAAGTTCAGCTACAACTCATTCTGATATCAATGCTCAAGATAGAGAAGGTGATTGTACAAACTTCTTAGGAAGATGGGTTCCGATAGCTTCAGCAATGTCTACAAGACGAACCTGTAAACCTTGCGATGAATTTGATGAAATATAGTTGTAATCGTAAAGACTTTATTTATATCAATTTGATGTCTTTGTCCACTAAGTGAGCGAAGATAGAGCACTTAGTCATTCTTACTTGTTCTTTGCTCAACCAAGATGGATGGTGTTTTGCTATGCTATGATGGACTTGTGGGATTGTACACACTGTACAAGTGGTTCCGCGGGAGCAGTTGAGTTAATAGCGAATTGGTGGTCTCCATTATTGGACGGTTGTAAAAAACGCGTTTAGTTTGGCTGCCGTAAATGTTTTCTGCACAACCTTTTCCTCGGTCGCCTCACTTAGGGATTTCAAGAACAGTAACCTCTTCGGGACGGTTGTTACCCTGTGTCATATCTTCATTTCGTTCATGTTTTTTATATGCATTCCTATTGAGTAGGCTTCAATGAGCCTGTTAGTTGCCTTCCAATTTATTTATTGTCAAACAATACATAGAAAGTCCACAAGCGGATAATTTGCTCATTTCCATAGTGCTGTATCAGTTACGTATGAAAAAACAGTAAAAAATCTGTCTCATAGTTTCAGGATGCTTTGCTCTGATGTCATCATTGAAGATTAATTGAGTAATGTTCATAATCTGCTTAGTAGGAATGTATATCCAACGAAATTTGTCAAGAAGCACATGAATGTAGAGCCATGATGAATTATTCTGAAGGAACCTGCTTCGCTCTTTTTGTTTTACTAGATGTCGAAATGGTGATTTTTCATTGAAATGTTTAAATCAGAATGATATACTGTAAAAAGAACTTTCTTTTTAATGACAAACAGTTAAATATCTAAAAGGTTTTGAGAGAAATTTGAATAAAGAGTTTTTACATCGGTTTACAGCTACTTTTATCACATTATTTGTTATATTTTAAATCCTCTGTAGAGATAATTTATGTTATGTTTTTTAACAGCCGCCTGTCGTGTTACATTCAACCCCGATTATTTACCAAGCTCGGACCTACCAGCAAAACGATCAAAATTATCTGATGATTTACTTAGTTCAGTTTGTAAGCCAAAAGAGCCATCTACATTGAAGGGCCAGTCCGTTAACTGTTTAGTCAATACAACTATCAGTGCATGTCATACACAGTCATTTGTATCATCGAATAATTGTGAACTGAATATTTTGTGTACTGATGCACTATATACTTCACCAATTGATCGAATTCGTGAAGGACCAAGTGATTTTGAAAATAATCAATTCACTCACAAACAGAACTTGAATAATTTGAGTAAGAATGAAGCTGAAAATTTCGCAACTTCGTCTACTAGCGTATTTCCTGATGATGATATATCTTCCAGTCGAATAAAACCAAGTCAGTTGCAGAATGATAGCGAAGTAGTTGCTAAACTTACCACTGAAACCCTTACAACTGGCGCCTTGCGTACATCGTTAGCATCACTAACTACTGAGGTTGTTCCGTCCGTTATATCTCCGTCCAAGCAGATTGGTGTAAATGCTACAAATTTTAGTTTATCAGACGCTACTAGTTCATGTTTCGATCCATCTCAGGCAAATTTAGCTACACTGAACGTCTTGCAACAAAATTCTGTTAATCCACTGTTCATTGAACAATTACTTGGAATCAGTCAAATGCGTCATATTCAACATCCACAGCAGCATAATCATAATTTGAGTTCAGGCATCACGGTCACAGTACCGACACAAAACATCATAGGAAACTATCCATTTGGTGTTTTAGCTAGTCAGTCTCTATCAAATCCTATTTTATCATCTTTAACAGCTGAATGGCTTTCAAATCTCCGTTCATCTGCACAACCATCGATAACTAGTAGTACTCTGCCAGAGTTGACACTGAATTCAGCTATTGACAATTTAAATGCAACTTCTGTTCTTCAGCAATATCAACAACGACAACATTTCTTAACTCTGGCAGCCTTACAAAAACATCAGCAAAATCAAGCATTAGCCCTGATTCAAAACGCCGTCTTGCTCCAACAACAAAGGAATAATAGTGTTGCAAACGCTGCTGCACTTGTCTTACGTCAACAACAAGAGCAACAGTTGGCAGTAGCTTCTTTACAAGCCCAAAGTTATATAGCTGCTTTGCAACAGCAGTTTACTAATTCACATACCTAAAATAGACTTCTCATTACCCCATTAATAATAATATACATAAGTAAGAGATCGATTTATTCACACCGTTCTTCATTGGTATGTTGTATATCACACATATCTATTGACAAATGTCTTTCTCATTTGATTCATTTTTTTATTGATTTTCTCCTTACATTGTGCCTACGCTAGTCTGATGTATTAATAGTGATGATATTTGATAATACTAGTCGCTCCTCAAAGGTATACTCGTATATGTACACATGTTGATACTGGAATTTCTGCTTCCCTTGCATTTCTTTTCTTTTAACTAAAAACTTCTATTCATTTTGAGTTTGTGACAGTGTTCTATAACTACAGCACTGACTTCTCATTACCATTCGGTCCTGTATTTAAATGTTATATTGTAATTATACTTTCCTCTCAAATCTTATTTTTTGGTAGTATATTTATATATTGTACTATTTGATCATTCTTTGTATAGCTATCTTTTCTTAGGTGTTTCTGTGCGTTCGTTTCCATTTGTATTCTGTTTTTCTTTGTTTATAATATTCTCTCTCTCTCTCTAGCTTTCATCATACCATTTTACCTAATCATATTTTGAGCATGTTATTATTACTAAAGACGGCATGAACAACTGATACACTTTCCTATTAAACTAATTTCTCATTCTGTTAATACCATATAGCTGAATCTATCATTTCAGGTGTTGTTACATAACTGGAAGAAAATATGTGTTAAGCTATTTTTCACAATGGGTGGCAGCCTTCTTATAAATAGTATATATTGAAGGAAATTAAAATTATATTAGTAAGAAAGTGTAATGCTTTTAGTAGTGGCCCAGTTAAAAAATGATCAGTTTCCTTGCACTACTGTCTGATACTCATCTACTGAAGATGCTTACTTTGTATGTTTATGTTAATTTATGTGAACTGGATAGTTCAATTATCAAGATTTCGTTGTCCTCGTCAACTTCAACATTTGATCCAAGTGGAAGTGCATTTTTCAGATTATTCTGAAGTAGTGAATACATCCTTCGTTTGCGACAGGTTGTCTTCGTAGGTGTTTGTAGTCTTTACTTTCCGTTCGAGAGGAAAAAATCATTATTACAAATCAGATTAATTATTGAATCAAAGTTTGCTTGATATGTACATTGTTGTGAATAAAGTATGGTAAAGTTTCGTGAATGTCTTAATTTCTCAGATATTAGTCTTGAGGAACATAGCTGCTTTGTCACAGTATGGAAATCCATAGTAGTCCGTACCCACAGCCCCTTAGTTCTCGTGACAAGTGCTAAATTATTAAGACCACATGATTTCCGTTCTGTAGTATAAATTTGCAACTTTAATTGTCATGATACAGTAAGACGATAAATCCAATACCACTTGTACCAGCTGTTTAACTCCTGACTTGTAGACACTCCGGGAACTAATCATTGATACTTCAGGAAGTCATCTCTAAGTAACTGAACTGACCTACGATTTATGATATATCGAAAGACTAAAGAAATGGTAAGTTGCAAAACTATTTTATCGTTTTTGATTATGTACACACTGTATACTTGTGGTGTGGGCTACTTATGTCCACATAAGTAGTATATAACGGTGGTCAAGCATAAAATGTATTTCAGTAGAAGATCGATGAGGAAAGAACGGAAACGGAACGCAAATGGTATGAAAATGCATGAACAATGAAATCTGAGACAATGGAACGATATTTGCAAAGGAACAGTCAAGTTTGAGATGATGGATTGATATTTTGCAAATTAACTATTTACTATATGGTTCTCAGATTTTAATGAGATGCTCTGTAATTTCGTGTCAAATACTGGACTGTAGATGGAATGACATGTGCGGTGAAAAATACTATAGTCGGGGTATTGATTGGCGGCTTTATCAATTTTAACATATAAGTTTACCTTATAGATTGGTGATTTTTTGTCTTTTAGAAATTCCTTGTCTCTCCAGCGTTGTGGCTTGTTTAAGCTACAGCCTATAAGGTCGGACAGACTAAAACATATTCTAGTTACCACCAAATATGTAACTTCGGTAAGGAGGTTAACAACTTTTCTTGCATCTAACAATTCTTTCTTAAACCTAATAATCATCAGTGAACACTCCCAGGTCATTAAGATCACCTCTAATCCAGTTTTCTTTTCAGGTACCTCCAGAAGAACCCTTCCATGGTGTGGGAAACCGAGAAGTGATAATTACCTTCATACCTCTAACAGCACTCAAGATCACTGTATTCATAATCAATCTTCCTCTGCAATTCCCATTATTCCATCTACATTGACTTTCAACTCTAAATTTCCTTTTTTGGCTTCCTCCTCAAGTGTCACCATGGCCAACGATTCTAGTGCGCAAAACACTGTCCTATGTCTTCTGAAACCTTGCTCTAAACTACACATTGTTACCTTCAACGTACATACGCTATGTCAAATCGGCCAGTATGCATCCTTGGATAAGACCCTAGAATCTCGTACCATTGATGTATTCTGTATCTTCGAAACAAACATGCAGGATCCTAGTTTGGTCATTCACTTGACTTTACCTCGCCAAAATGGAGAACCGACGAGATACACACTCCGTGTATATGGCTGCCCGATGGCCAGTTCTCATGGACTGGCAGGTGTAAGCATAGCACTAAGTATGAGAGCAGAACAATCACTATTAGAATGGATCCCCGTTAACAGTCGCATATTTACTGTTCGATTAAACGGCTCCCTAGGATCTTGGAAGTTTAGGGACACGTACCTTTTCATATTTCTTGCTTACACTCCCACTGACTGCAACTTGGATGAAGTAATAGATGATTTACAGAAAGCTTTCCTAACTTGTTCAAAAAGCTTAGCACTCAGACAGCACTGGTCGCAAATGACTTTAATGTCCAAGTAGGTAGCTTAAACCAAACAGAAAGACGCTTAGGTGGGTATTTTAGTATTCTGGCTCAGCGAACAGATAACGGTGACTGCCTGTTGCAGCTGTGCTCGGACAATCGTTTATTTTTAGCAAGCACTAATTTTAGGCATTATGAGAAACATCACCCAACATGACGACCCTTGCACCAACGATGGACTCAATTAGACCACAATGTCATCAGCCATCGTTGGAGAAGCTCAATAGAAGACTGTCGCTCATTCTGGAATACCTATTTAAACTCCGGTCATGCTCTAATACGAGCACAAATTTGCTTGCGCCTCACTGTACTAAGAGAAAACACATTAGGATCGAACTGAGTGACGAGAAAGCCAAAAGTAGATACTAGGAAAAACTGAAGTCACACTTGGGTATTTCTGAAAACGAGTCTGACCCAGATGTTGCTTGGAAAGATATACGAACAGCTGTGGAAACAGCAGCAACATCTATTAGTGATTTGAACCAAAGGGTTACGAAAAACCAGTGGATTTCTTCTAAGTCTATTGCACTGATGAATTCACATAAACTTATCCCATCAGGCTCTGAACACGATGAAGGTGGAAAACAAATCAGATCTAGGTTAACCAAAAGTCTAAGGAACGATCGTAAACAGTGGTGGGCAGCGAAAGCAAAAGAGATGGAAAAAGCATTTGTTTATTATTGATTGATGCACAGTTCAAGAACTAGGAACACTGTTTTGAAATCAGTGATTCTTAGTATATGGGTTTTTGAAATTTTTGGAGACATAATCATTTAATTCAGAACAATTTGTGCGTAATCAATCCAGATAGAAAAAATTAATGTACCTACATCAATGAAAACGTTTATTTGTTGAAACTGGGAACTACCGTTGTTCCATTATCAATTATCTACTTGGTGTAATTTGAATCTGATTGCTTGAATTTGTTGAGCATTTATTGTTCAAATAACTGGGTAGCAACATTCGCTTTTTCAACATTATACATTTCAATTTATAACTGTATATAATACCGTTCATTATCTAAAGGCTTGTTTCTAATTTCGACTGAACAGGAGCGCAACTGTATGAAATAACCTACAAATTCTTCCCCATTTTCACTTCTTTTTGGTTTGGATATAATCACTATTACTGAGCTCGCGTAATAAAACCCCTTATCTGTGAACGCTGCACATCTTTGATGTTTCTGATAGACCTAAGTAACTTAAATAATATCTAACCCGAACAATTAATCATAAATCAATAAAAAATGTTACATTATACATTTCTGTTATTGTTCTTCAATCAGTTCCTTCGTTGTAGGTTATTATGTTCGCTCCGCATTGGTACACAGAATGACTAAAAATACACAGTTTATTGATCAGCAGGATGTCCACTTACAAAGAATGAACGGTTTTAAACTGATGCCACGTATAGGAACATTCGTCTAAATTTGAACAAATAGTTTCGCAGTAATTGGGTGTCGAGTTGATGTGAGACATTAAGGAGTAGAAATGTATTTGTAAGATCTCAGGAAATGAATTTGAAGTAAATTCAATGTTTCGCTTACAAATAAGGACCATTCCTTCAAAAACCTTGGATCAGATTGCGAGTGGGATCGTGGACGCGCGCTGCTGAGGAGTCCGGCAGTAGGACGAAACGGCCGTCCAGTGCTTCCAGGTTTCCAATGGTGGTCTAACGTCAATCGGTTCATAATATCAATCAAAATACTGTTTTCCCGTGTATTTTAATTTTATGAAAAACATGTACAACCTAATTAACTCTTGATCAATGATAATTGAATACCTAGGATGAAATTTTTGACCACCAATAAAGGCACTGGTCGGCTGTTTCGTTCTGGCATGAGACTCCTCTCAATCTTGCGTGCGGATCGCCACAAGCTAGGACAAAAGGGCAGTCCTGTGCTTCCAGGTTTTCAGTGTTGGTTTATTATGAATAGGTTCATGATTTAAATGAAATTTATCAATCATATGGACGTGTGCTACTTGTGAATGTAAAGATGTAGCATGGGTCAAACTCTCGTTAACTGAATTTTCGCGCGATAGGAAGACTTCATATGGAGTAACAGAATTAGCTTATTGTATCGATACACATGTATGACTAAACGGTATGCCCATAAAACTGGAAAA